CCAGAATCTGGGCAGAGAAGTCAGGGGCCTAGCAACAGCTTGAGTACCCAGACCCTCCCTGCAGGTGGAGCTAGCCAGTCTCCTCCAAAAGATGCTGTGGGGCCTTCATTCCGAGCAGGAGCGGCTGCAGGAGGCGGCCCAAACACTGGCCAGGAGCCAAGCGGCTCTGGAGGTTGTAGTGAACCAGGCCTGTGAGCCCCGGGAGCTGGAGCGGTTCAGCCGGTTCATGGCCGACCTAGAGCGTGTGCTTGGACTCCTGCTGCTGCTGGGCAGTCGCCTAGCCCGTGTGCGCCGCGCCCTGGCCTGGGCGGGCGCCGACGGAGACCCTGATGAGCGGGTAAAAGGGGTTCAGGCCTGAGTGAGCAGGGCGGTGAGGGGTCTGTCGTCTGGAACCATCCCTGGAGCGGCGTTGTGGTCTCCTTGCTCCAGGCTTCTCTGTTGCGGCGACTGGAGCTCCTGCAGCGGCAGCAAGAGGACGCCAAGGAGCTGAAGGAGCACGTGGCACGGCGTGAGCGAGCTCTGCGTGAGGTGCTGGCTCGGGCACTGCCGGTGGAGGAACTGCGTGCCTATAGCGCCCTGCTGGCTGGCAAGGCTGCTGTCCTGGCCCAGCAGCGCAGCCTGGACGAGCGAGTCCGCTTCCTTCAGGACCAACTGGACGTGGTCAGTAGCGACCTTGGCCATCATTCTCCATCTCCCAGGCTGGCCCAGCCCCCAGAGACCTGTTTTCCAGATAAACAGCCCTTACCTCCTCCCCTTACCTAGTTATGGGTGGTTGGAGGCAGCATCCCTACATCTTACCCACATAACTGGGTGATGCTGGTTTATTCGGTGCTTTTCCCTTGAGGGGGTGGGGAGGACCCAGTCCAGACGTTCCAGGATATTCCTTCAAAGTGTTTTCATGTGGCCTTACCCAAATCTGTGGGTTATTTGGTAACTAACTTACGGTTCCTAAAAACTGCAGTATTATCCCATTATGTGATGAGAGAGAGGCTGTCGGGGTTGGTTGGAGGGAGGAGAGACAAGTGTGAGGAGCACTTCAACTTAAGGTGTAAAAACAGCCTTTCCCCGCCCCCTTCAATAAAAAGTAATAAGAGAAATCTGTGTTGCCTGCGGCACAACTGGTGGGATGGGGTGTGTTCTTGTTTACAAACACAGGCATGGCCCTGTCTGACCAGAGCAGAAGGGGCATTTGTTGGCAGAGTATCAGTTAGCTCTGGCAATGATGCAAGGAAGCCTGGAGAACCAGGCTTGAAAATGGAAGGGAGCAGGTACATACTGGGCCCCCACAGACCACTGTCAGTAATCTGTTCTGGAAACTACATCACTACTGCGAAAACCTAGGTCTGATTGGCTGAGTCCAGGGTTCCTTAGTTGGTTTTAGCCAAATTCCCACCTTCAGCAGTGAAAGAGGTCATCCTTCCCTTCAGGACCCAGCTATAGGGAATTCCCCCCAAATTGAAAATGGGCTCAGATGCTTGCTCCCTAAATACCCTGACAAATAAATGTTCAATATACGAGGACATTTGGGGACATTCATTCTAAGACTCAGAAAGAACTTTTTTCCTTTTCCAGTTATGAAAAAGTTCTTGAAACTCAGTATCAAAACTGAGTTTATCCTTTTTTCCTCCAGAGACAGCCAGGCCTGAGGGCAGTGCAAGGTGGGAGCTGAAGCTGTGGGGGGAGGACTCTGGAGGGGCAGCTGTTATTGCATGCCAGCAAGGCCAATCTAGGGGGTGGGTGGGAGTGGGAAGTAAAAGGCTGGCATGGTAGGACACCTAAAACAAACCCCTCCATTTGTATACTAGCCCTGTGTACACAGAAGCACAGGTTCTCAGATATACACGTGAAAATCTGCTACAGTATTTGTAGCTACAAGTCCCAGGAACAAGAACATTGTCATTATTCTGCAAATAGTTGGTCTATTTTTGTAAGTTGGGCACATTAAAAGGCACATGTATGTGTATTTAAAACCAACTGACCCCAAAGTGAGAAATCTCTGCTTCTGGGCTTGTTTTCTGATGCGTATTGTCACTAAGTGCAACTGGTTGGGAATTTTAAATGGTCGTATTCATACCAAAAGCATTAGTTATAACAGTTACGCTATTGAGCACAGAACAATGCTCACATTGTGCCGTTTTATAAAAAACATATGGGGCTCCTGCTGAGGCCATTGCGGGTTCTAACATTTTGCTTTGCTTCTCTCCTTTGAACACTGTGGGCGGGGCGTCCGCTCCAAGGTCTTCAGCCAAGCACGCTCGCTCAGAAGCTACTAATTGCTGCCTTTCCCCACTGTGCGGTCCCCATTACATTCTCCCATTGTAATCTTCTTAGGACACATTTGACGTCGTCCATTAAGCCAGTGGGAATTGTGTATTTCAGACACAGCGTTCCCAACCCTGGCTGGGCGCAGGGAATGCGGCAGTGGGGTGGAGGTGGGGTCTGCCACCTTCCCATTAATGTGGACTTTGCTTCTGTGCTGAGGTTTTCTATGGGGAAATAAATCTGAGGCTTCTGTGCTTATCCCTGCCAGATCCTCAGCACTCTAAAAGTAAGACCACACTTCCTGCAACGATCGTATTGTCTTGCCTGTCTCCTTCTTGCGTCATCCCCCCCCCCCACATAGTTATTTTTTCAGAGGTCCAGAATGAACTCACCACAGACGTTACAGATCCATACCAGAGACTTCGAGACTTTTCGGAGACCAGAAGCCGGGTGGAGCGGTCCTCCAGGACACTGCCAGCAGGGGGCACTGTTTTCCTTACGGAGAAGGATTCTTCCCACGCTTTGCCTCCCGCAGCCTCCCCAGCTACCAGGCCCTCGGGTCTAGCTAGAAGGACTCTGCCTTGCCCTAATGAGCGGAGACCTTGTTAGGCCTGGAAGCTGGACGTCGGAGGAAATTCCGGCCAGCCAGGCAGGAAAAGCCTGGCTTGCTTTCCTTCGCCACTAGGCCTTCGTTGAAAGGCTGTTGGCTAATGAGAAACGGGGGAGAGGGAAGGTGGGGATGTTGACCTCCAGCATCAGTAGCAAAAGAGCCTTACACGGTTTCCCATTCTGGAAGGAGGGTTGCAGGGGTCTCTGCTGGGCTTTCTGCCTCCCACCCGCTTCAGCCGCCCGCGCCCGGGCCCGCTGGTTGCGGCGCCCCCGGGCTTCGGGGGCGGGCGGCTGGGGCTGGCGGTGTTGCTGGGCAACAGGCAGCCGTGCGGTCGCCTCCCGCTCGCCGCACTCCGCCCCCGCTGCTCCTCCTAATATGGATTTAATTAGTGTACTTTTTACCTTCAGACTGTAAATTGGAAATAGAAGAGGAAAGCGGTGTTCCGCAGCGCCCCAAACCGGCGCGCAATCTGTCTCGAACATTCTGCTCGGCACAAAGCGTACCTCTGCGAGCGGCTGGCGTCGACCTCGGGGAACCTCGCGGGGACGAATTGCCCGGCTGTTCATTCACTTGTAAATCACAAGCTTCTGAGGAAATTTAGGTCAGAAGAGGTTGAGGGCCTCAGAAAGAGGTGAGGGGAGTTTGTGGACAGGGGAAGACCCGAAGCGGCAGTTGCAATAAAGCAATTAGGACCCTGTCACAGACTGACTACTGCCTAGAAGGTCACGTTGGGCCGTTACTTGTTGTCTCTGATATTTAAATCAGCACCCACTTTCTGAGAGAATTATTTTACCCCTTTGGGGGGCGATGTGGGGATCTCCCTGTCTCTTTCTTCCCTTTTCCCTGGAGGCACACCCGAGGCCACCCCGTTTTACAGGTTGAAGTCCAGAGGTGTGGCAGTTCCCAGCTATGGGTGAGGCCTGTTGAAGGCAAAAGGCTATCTGGAGGGCAATAGGGAATCTAATTATGAAACCATTTTAAATGGTAAATAATTTCTTCCAGGAAAAGGCCAAAAAAGAATGGGCATATGGGTCAGGGGTAGGCCTTAACTGTGTGGGGAGGGCTGCTTTCAGCCCAACTGGTTGATTGGCAGCGGTTTAGCTCTTAAAGGTGGGAGTAGGGATGCTGGGAATGTCACTTAAGACAGACATTATTGCTACAGAGGGTGCAAAAAAATGTATACACATTTTTAAGAAAGGAAAAAACTATTAAAATGCTCAGTATATACTGATAACAGTTATCTTGTATGTCTTATATCTCTTGTAATTGCAGAAGTCAAACATGACTTGAGTATTACAATTTTAATACAGTTTTCCTCTTTCTTAAATGTGTTACATTTTTTGGCACTTTAACTAAAGTGATATCACATACAGAACATGGGCTTATTTGCCTTCTTGTGAGAATACATTTTCCCTAGCACAGTTGTTTCTGTATACAAATACTAACATGATAAAAGAAGGGTGGTTTTGCAAAGCAAATCCACAAGCTAGAGCTGTTTGGAATGCAGCCATTTACCCCCCATGGAACCAACTCTGCACTTCTGGTAATATTTCAGGTTGGTGCTGCAATTTATAAGGAGTTCCACCTGCTTACTCCATATGCTCTTCCTTCCCCATAGCCCGTAGGTATGGCCTGTCTTCTGTCCCACAGTAAGGGAGATGGGAGGTTGGAGAATTGGGTGACTTGCGTGATGTCACTAAATAAGTAAAGAGGCAGAGATGAGACCACCCTACTTCCTGTGACAGCCTCACGAGAAGAGAACCACGATGCTATCCCAGCATCAGGATGCTATCTGGCCTCTCCACTTACTAACTTTGGGCCAGAACAAAGACTTACTCCCAACCTTTCTAGGCTTCAGTTTCCTCATTTTAAAACCAAGATATAAATAGTACATACCTTATAAGGTTGTGATTAATACCTACAGAGTTTTGAACTGTGCCCAGCACTTGATAAATGCAGGTTCTACAGTATAAGCATTGCCCTTGATCTTTATTAGGCAAGTGCAGCATGCTCAAGAATTACTCCCAACCTCCACTGAAGACAATGTAAAGCTTTATCAAAAAGCTTGCTATGCATATGACTCATACACATCTACATTAACAATTAACTTCTCCTCCATTAAAAGGAATGATTCTCCTCCTGACAGTTATTACCAGCTGAATTGCCTTAACTGTAGAAAGCAAGGTGGGGTTGGGATGGGGAAGCTTTGGCCTCCAAGGAAAAAGCAGTGTTTTTTTTTTTTTAAATTATCACTTTACCATCTTGGTTAAAATTTTTTCTTTATGTAGGTCATACCTATGTCTGTGACCTTGTAACCCTGTCTCCATCAGCCCTTTAATAGTTTGTCTTCTAGATCTTCAGCTCAGATTACTATAATTGTACCTCCTACAATTTTTCTGCAGAGGCAGATTTAATTTGCATTTTAAAATAATTTATGCAAATTAGCTACCGTCCCAGGCAAGTGGGAAGGTTCAGATTAGCGTCTGCATTTATCTGTATTCTTGGCTACCATATCCATGTGTGCTTGATTCCTTTACTTTGCAGAGCAAACCAAACTCTTTCAAAAATAGAATGCTTCAAAGAGGCAGAAGAGAATTGAAAGAAAAAGGAACACACTAAGAAAAACAAATACAATTGTAAAAGCTGGGAGAATGTTTAAGGGAAGTACATCATCACATAAGCAGGAACAGAGGACTGTTTATTTCATTGCTTAAATCAAAACATTCCACGAAGGACTGCCTTAAATAATTTCAAAGCCTTAACTGATACACATGGGGAGAGAATGGCCCATTACCCTGTGCCACAAACACTGTTTAATATAACTAATGACATGCAAACACAATTTGAAAAATTAGAGCATATCAGAATATGATTGAAGTACGGCTGTCTGAGCAAATAGATTCCACATCTTTAAAACAGGAAATAAATACATTATAATTACACTGTGTTGAACCGGGGAAATCTCACAACCCTACAACCTCAATTTACAGATAAGAATAAAGGCGCAGGGAAGTTAAGCCACTCATCCAAGTTCACTGAGCAAAGAGATTCTGCTTTTGCTATTTTGGAATAAGTTCTCTGCTTTCAAATTTTTTTTTTTTTTTGTAGAGATACAGTCTCAATGTATCGCCCTTAGTAGAGTGATGTGGCGTCACACAGCTCACAGCAACCTCCAACCCTAGGCTTAGCGATTCTCTTGCCTCAGCCTCCCGAATAGCTGGGACTACAGGTGCCAGCCAATTTTCCTGTTGTAGTTGGCCAGGGCCAGGGTTGAACCTGCCACCCTCGGTTTATGGGGTCAGTGCCCTACCCACTGAGCCACAGGTGCCACCCTCAATTTTTTTTCTAATGGATATCATAGACTTTTTGTTTGTACAGAACTTTTTTTTTTTTGAGACAGAGTCTCACGTTGTTGCCCTTGGTAGAATGCTGTGGTGTCATAGCTCACAGCAACCTCAAACTCTTGGGCTCAAACAAACTTCTTGCCTCAGCCTCCCAAGTAGCTGGGACTATAGGAGCCTGCCACAATACCTAGCTATTTTTAGAGGCAGAGTCTCCAACCTATGAGCTCCTGCAATCCACCCCCCTCAGCATCCCAAGTGCTGGGATTACAGGTGTGAGCCAGCTTGCCCAGCTGTACAGAACTTACTTGCTCTTTAATTGTATCCATTACTATTTATTTATTTTTCCATTACTATTTAATCAGTTATTTTTCTTGTGTAATGCTATGACATTTTTCTTTTTGAATATTTACTTTATGGCTAAGCTGGATTTGGAAACCACAGATTCAGAAACATGATGCAAAGGTGCAATTCACAAATCACAATTTAAAAAAATTAAATATTCGTGCCAAATCAAAATAATCATCCACCACTGCCAAACACTCATTTACATTTCACTATGAAGAAAACTACAATTTTAAAATATTTCCCAAAATGTTTCTTTTCTCTTTGTCATCTTTACTCCCAAGATGCACTTGTTTCCAAATATTTAGCATTCACAGTACAACTGAAATTAATTACATTCATAATGGTCACAATGATTATTCTGCATTCAAGACTCTGGAATCCTGATTGCCTCAAATGAGGTAGATAAACTTTAAAGAGTTTGTTGGTTGGGACACATTTCCTTTAGATCTTGATAATCTATTTTTTAAATAGAATTCCAAAATATTTAGCAAAAAATTGAAAATGTCTGAGCATTTTGCCTAAGAGTGGAAAAATATAATTTCAAAAGGGTATTACTAAAGTTGCTTTACCTCATTTCAATTTAAAAACAGAATAAAAGCGTCAAATTACAAAACTACCACATATCTTAAAGCTGACAACATTAAACCTTTAAATATTTAAAGAGACCCTTGCTCTAGTGCTGGCTTGGGGCTGTGTAGGTAGTGGAGACATTCAGGGGCCAGACCAGCTGCTGCCCCTTAACCTTCAACCCTAAATTTCGAGTCTCATGAGTTCAGGCCTGACTACTAGAGTTCTTAGAAGACTCTTAGAGAGATCTGGAATCTCTGGAAACAGGTCAAACTTGAGACAGAAACTGGAGGTGCAAGCCCGTTTGGGTAAAACGGGCTGCAAGGGACAAAGCTGGAAACAGAATGGGGCTGCAGGTAACGGGCCCCAGCCTTGGATAGGCTTAGACTTTGTGTGTGGGAGATCTGGATAGATTACCCTAGGCCATAGCCCCTGGGACCATCAGGTTGTGGGAGGCAGACTGGGCACTAGACCAGCAAAAGGCCCTGGAGTAGGTCGACGAGATATTTCAGAGAAGGCTGGAAGGCCACCGCGGATCTTTGTCTTTTTACGTGGAGCCATGGGCGAGGCGCTCAAAAATTTGCTGAAGGAGCTGGACTTCCTCAAGCCTCGGGCCAGGTCCTGGAGCATGATGTCGTCCGCCAGGACACCCAGAAACGCACTGGTGGTGGAACCGAGGATGGTGGCAGCAACCTGCACTGGGCGCCGGGTCGCAATACTGCCACTTCCACCGTCGGTCGCATCTGGCTCTGGCGTGGCTCGCAGGCCCGGGTCGCCGAGTAGGCGTCGCAGCGCATACGAGGAGCCGGGCCGCAAGTACTGGTAAGCTCGACGGCCGCTGTGGTCACGCACGTGCACCTGTGCACCCAGACGGACCACTAGCAGCACGGCAGCGTCCTCGTGGCCGTGCAGAGCGGCCAGGTGCAGGGGTGTGTAGCCGCCGTGCGAGCGCGCATTTACATCGACCGGCGCGCCCCCACGCCGCGCCACCTCCACCACCTGCAGCGCCATCTCCCGGTCGCCGCTCTTGGCGGCCCAATGTAGAGCCGTGAAGCCAGAGATGAAATCGCGCTTGGCCGCCAGGCCGCCGTCGCGCAGCAGCATCCCGTGGAGTTGGTGGGTCCAGTGACCACTGGCCGCCCTCACGAGCCACTCGTGCTCAGACGGGTCCAGGGGTACTGCGGACGGCGGCGGCGCGGCGGGCACCTCCTCGGTGTCCGGGCTGAGCAAACGCGGGCCAGCACGCGACAGGCGCCTCAGGTGCGGAGAGCGGCCGGGGCCCAGGCTGAGGCCCAGGCCGGACTCCTCTACCGACAGCCGCCTCAGCAGCAGCGGGGAGCTCCGCGGGCTGGGTTCCTCCGACAGCTGCCGGCGCAGGCCCTGGTCCTCGGCTCGGAGCCGGAGCGCAGCGGGGCCCGGGACGCAGCGCACCGGCAGCATGCAGGGCTTTTGCGGCGGCGCGCGTGGGACGGCGGGCTGCGGGGCTGGCGGCTCCACGCTGGTCGAAACCTCCGACGGTGCCCGAGAGGGTGGGGACACTTCTGCGGAGAGTCCTTCTGCAGGCTGAGCTAGCTGAATGGTTGGCACTTGGGGGTCGGCGGGGCCACCTGGCTGGGGGGCCGAGCCTGACCACAGCTCCCGAGTTGGCTGAGTGGGCTCAGAGACCAGAGCCCCGGGGGCGTCTTGCGGCTCCGATGGCTGAGCCAGGTCCTCTGACGAGTTCACCGAGGCCAAAGATAGAGCTCTTGGGGGTGAGTGTTCTGGAGAGACAAGAGTGTCTTGCGACAGCGGGGCTGATGCCGCGGGCGGGCAGGAGAGCAAGGGCCCTGGGCCCTCTAGGGACCGTGGCTTCTTCCTTAGCACAACGAACTTCACGCCGTCGAGCTCCTTCACCACGGCCACGTCGTTGACGTACTGTTTGAAGCGGTCCCTGCGGGCGGCTCGGCCGCGCGGGTCGCCGGCGTCCAGCAGCGGCTTGAAGCGACTCAGCAGTTCCGCGTTGGGCACCTTGCCGCCGCGCTCTTGCAGGAAGCCCAGCACTGCAGCCTGGCTCACCCCGGCGGCCGCAGCCGCTGCGGCGGCGGCTAGCGCCATGGTCAGTCCCAGTCCTGGAGGGGAGCTGGGGTCACCCCTCCCGCTGGCTCTCGGTTCCCGGCCGCTGGGACAGGTGTCCCCAAGGGACGCGCGGGAGCGGAGGTTTGAGAGTCTCGGCCGCCTCGGCCGCACTCACCTGATCGTTTTCACCGCGGCGGGACGGGCGTGTACCCGGAGCTGCATCTTGGTCACGCCCACGCCGCCTGGCCGCTGTGTCGCCGGGCAAAGGGCGCTGGGGGCTGCGGCGAGGGCCCCCCACCAGCGCCCCGCCGGGCCCTCAGCCTTTGGAGTAGGTTTCTCCCTTCATATTCTGTCCAATGGGCGCCGGGTTCCATTCCCCCCACTCGCGGTACTCGCCTTACAGGTGACAGCTGCCACCAGCAATGCGAAGGAACTGGGGGAGCGGAAATCCCCCCCGCCCCAACCTTGGAATTAAAGGCGCAGTGCGCATCAGCTCGCATCCTGGTTGCTAGGTGGGTGTGTGTTCTCTAGGGATGCTGCGGACGACCAGAAGGAATGGATTTTTATTCTTTTAAGAAATATTTAACCACTAAAAATACCTGCCACGATTTAAAAGCAACAATTGTTTTTAAAAAGACATCAGCACCTCTACAGCTTTCCGGTGAGCTTCATTCAGGGGAACAGCTTCATTCAATTTACAGTAAAACAATTCTCTATGTGTGCCATGCTCATTAAAGGAGGCTTAGAGAGATGATTTAAAGAGCAATTTTCTCATTATAAAATAATACATTTTACATAGAATTTTGGGAACAAAATCACTGGAAAACGTAAAGAAGGCAAAAAAGTCATCTGAAATCACCATTAACATTTGAAATAATACCCCCCCCACACACGTGTACATGTCCATGCTAAATAAAGCAACAGCAGGGGCATGCTATATTTTTAAAACTTCATTTAGTCCACCTAGCTTGTGCCAGGATCTTTTCCAGCAGCAGTATATCCCTTAGCAAGAAAGATTAAACACGCACACCCACAACCTGATCTAGTGGAGCTCATAGATTGGTGGAGAACAGAAATAACGTAAGTAATATGGGGAATCTGAAAACTATAATATGCTAGATAAATACTGTGGATAAAATAGAGCAGGGTAAAACAGATGGGGAAATGGTTGCAACTTTGAACTGAATAATCAGGGTAGGACATGTTGTGAAGGTGACAAAGGAGGATTTGAAAGAGATCAGGGAGTTATATAGAAAGAAGAGTTTTCTTAGCCCAAGGAACTGCTGGGGCAAGGGTGGAATTAGTTTTCTTTCTCTTTTCTTTTTTCTTTCTTTTCACAGAGTCTCACTCTGTTGCCTTGGGTAGAGTGCTGTGGCATCATAGCACGAGCTTGAGCCATCCTCTTGCCACAACCTCCAGAGCTGCTGGGACCACAGGTTCCTGCCACAATGCCCAGCTAGTTTTTCTTTCTTTCTTTCTTTTTTTTTTTTTTAGTAGAAATGGGGGTCTGGGTCTTGCTCGAGCTGGTCTCAAACTCCTGAGCTCAGGCGATCCACCCACCTTGGTATCCCAGAGTGATAGGATTACAGGCGTGAACCACCGTGCCGGGCCTGGAATTAGTTTCTTAATTTACAAACACAGTACTACAAATATTTGACAAATATATAACCAGAGGCATACCCTGTAGTATCAATATACCCTGTAGTATCTATTAATCTACATCAGAATGATTGCAGTGCCCTGGGAAGAAGGTTTTTTTTG